TTCAACGACCATAGCTTCTTCCATAAACATTTTTATGCGATTATGGAAACAGCCTCGAATTGCCCCAAACGTTTTGCTTCCTGGTAAGTGTTAAGTGAAAGAGAAGTAGGGAGATCATTTGCATTCTATGCTGTCCTACTGGTAAAATCACCATAACCTCGAAACCCTCTCAACTCAATATGAGTCTCTTGCGTTCTCTGCCTTTAGCGTGACATTATCAGTTGTATTCTTTCATATGCATGAGGAGTAAAAGCAACAAATTTTTGCAGGAGATTATAATGAAGGAATTTCGTACAATGGAAATGCTTGATTAAAGCTATCTACAACTCTCTACAGCTTTCCATAGCATAGACAGTCTGCAACATGCGCCAATTGTGGAATTTCGTGATAGCTTTCCTTTCGTTCCTCTGCATTCATGCTAATGAAGATGCGAAGAGGTTGTACGATGACCTTATGGTCAATTACAATCGGCATAGACGGTGAGATTTCTTTCTCTTATTTCCAATACCGAACAAGCAATATCTGCAAATTGTCTGCAGAAGGGTACGTCAAAGAACGAGATGGCTGCGGTTGATTCGTTGGGCAGATCCCAGTTTGGGAGGTCGTATTGGGGAAGGAGAAGGGCTCATTAAATTGGCATATTCATTTTATGGTTTGAAAAGGTTAAGGAAGATGAATTAGCTGGGATTTGGGAGATGTTGAAATGTTTTACTTGACGAGAATTTTTGTAACACTTCCACGATTCCGCTGCTTTTGCAGTTTCAGTCGTTCCAGATATTGGGTTGGAGCATAATATCGTAGCGTTTTTCTTTTCGAGCTACGAATTCAGTGAATACAAGTATTACCCAGGAAATCACATATATCATTTGAAAGTACTTCTTCTGCTCTACAATACCTGTTTGGCATTTTCTTCTATACTGTAAGTGTACTCAGATATGGCGCTTAGAAGTTGGAGAATCAAGGTGGGCGAAAATCTATATAGAGAAAAAAGCTGCCAAAATAGGAGTTTTTCGGAATCCATCGTCATCATCGAACCTTACTCCAGTCGACCCTTAATTTCAAATCATATTCACGTCGTACAAATTGAGAATAATGAGGATTCTGAAAACGGGCTCAGTACCCTTTTTTGATTTCTAAACCCGGTAATTTCTTGCGAAATGGAACCAAAGTCGTAAATAATGACGAGAAGAACATCACTGATCAGTGCTTGGCTTTGCTTTTGGGTTTTGCTTTAAACGTTTTTGCCGAATGCGAGCGCTACGATATTATGCTCCGACCCAATTATTACTTCCTCAGCCCTGCACCCTCTACCCCATCGGGACAGGCCACCTTTTTTTGGAAATGGAAGGAAAATTGGTGGTAATGGGGTAAACCAAATTGCCACTAGGAGTACCACAGAAAGTGTTGAAGGGGGTTCGATTCCAGGCTGTCTTCAGTGGAGGTGAGGGGGCGGGGTGTACTGATCCCGTATTTCGTTGTAGATATATATTGTAAGCGATTGAGGATAGAGCTATCAAGAATTAGGCCAAGTAGAGTAAATGAAATGAGTAATAATGAATTGCATTCCTCTTCTCCCAGGGAATATTAAGCTCTACATTCCGCTAATAATTGGTAAGTTTACAGTCATCCTCTACATGCAAGGACAAAACCGAGAGTCTGGCTTTTTGGTAAACGAAAAAACTGAGACACTTTTTGTTTGGTAAGCTGCTGTTTTTTGACCGCGTCCGACTTGCGATGTTCAGAAATGCTGGCTTGTGAACAAACTTTCGTCTCCGCGGGCTCGAACTCTGCGCTTCTGCTTCAGAAAGTGCGCTCACCAGTTACGTTACCTATCATTCTCATCCCAACTTAGCTTTCCATGCATATTACTCAATCACTTGTCAACACTGTTCGAGCTATTCAGCCGGTATCTGCAATGGCTGCAAGGCTGAAAGCTTTGGCAATAGATTTTGAGTTGTTGAGGGTTACGTATTGTGTATTAAATACTAAGAAAAGTATTACCGTATGTTCAAATTCCCTCCGTACATCTGTCCACAAATGTTGGCATCCTAATCCATCGGTCGTTTTCTCTGCACTCCCCAGATTGGAATGCTTCAAGTAAGTGTCAGTGTGTGCCAATGAGGGAGGGTAGGCGGGAAGGTACGTAATTTGTGGTTGTACCGGTGCCGGCACTAGATTGTTTCCTTGTCTCGCCACCATTGGTGATTTGGGCCCATGAAGGTGGTGTTTCAAAGCTCGCATTTCTGTAGGAAGCCTAATTTTCATGCTTGAAAATTGTCCTAGTGATCGCAAATGACGTTTTTATGTGGGGGAAGGAAGAGCGCAATTTTCCATGCACGATTTCATCACCCTGTGAACAGACCGAATTTTCTAGTATCGGTGCAACCGACCGTATTTGCCCTGCACTCTTCATTGTTTCATACGGAAATCCCTCATGCTACATCTTTACCAGCCATTATTTAGGCCAGCCAGTGGACCACACGAACCGCTCACTATAAAGCTCAAGTTGTCTCGACCGATCAGATCAGATATCGACGGTGTTTTGCGTTATCTACTATTCATTATATTTGGATAAAAAAAATCATGAAACGGGCCGCATCTGTGTTTTGGTAGGCTTCATTTATATGTGGAGGCATCCACCCCGTTTAGTACAAAGCTCGTAACCTGTTGGCTGGTGGCACAGAAGTAACATAGAGAGATCGACCTCAACGGGGCTACGCGAGCCGGTAGAGGAACATACAAGATTTATAAGACGTCTGGAAAGGGTAGATGAGAGTGTGATTGCAAAGATGCTGCGTCTCTTACGATTTGTGCGACAAGGGGGTCGTTTGGATCGTGCACGTGGAACTTAATGTTGGGACCATTTGAAGAGGCAGTAGAATAGTCAGGTCACAACGTATCCCACATGGACATCAGCAAACATGCCATGCTAAGGATGTTGGAAAGGTTTTGACGCAAATGTTCGATAAACTTAATCTAATAGATTACAATTTAGCACGAGATTGACCAAATTATGACGTGTTCGGTGTGGCTGAAGCAAGTGTGGATCGACAAGAAGCTCTCGTGGGATCCGAAGAGTTACGGTGGTGTGAGCGTCCTCTATGTGCCTTATGAATGAACTTGGGTACCCGATATTGTGCTGTACAATAAGTGAGTATTCTTCTGGTTATGTATTACCAATTCGAATTTTATCTGTAATGAGCAGATTCTTATTAATGCGTTTACGATTCTGAACGTAACTCGAATGCATGGCGCGACTGCGCACTTGTCTTGAGCAACTAACTAAGAGTATGTGTTATTGAATTTTTCAGTGCGGATAGCAACTATAATATTACAATCTCCACGAAAGCTACACTGCACTATTCTGGTGAGGTTACATGGGAACCCCCAGCCATATTCAAAAGTATGTGCCAGATTGATGTCAGATGGTATGTTATTAGAAGACTAACTATATTTAATGAACTACTAGTAGCTCTGTTTCGTAATAACTTAACATGTTGGTGGCCTGGCTGTAAGGCCATCACGCGAAAAGAAGGCAGAGTGGGCGGACTAGTCGAGCGCGTGATGTGCGATGGTAGGACTTTGCAACTGCAATTCATTCTATTAACTTACAAATCGAAAATACTATCACAACGCGCTGCGAACTCGTGCTATACTCTGCCTTCTTGCCGCGCGTCGCCTCCTGTCGTGTACCCAAATTCGCCGTGCCCCTTGCGTGAAACTTTTTGTTGCGCTCCGTCATGGATGATGGGCCCAAAATCCTTCCACTTCCCATGGTTCTCCTAAAACAACCACAACCCAACAAGGTTGATTTCTAATGTACTCGAACCCTGTAAAAAAGAATTTGCGGAGCTTAAAAATCTATGTTATACTAAATACAAAATCAGATTCCTCTTATTGTCACATAAGAAGCATATAATCGTGATAACTTGCGTCAGAGATATCCGCGAACGAGCAGCAGTTGTTTCATAAGGCGCAGGGTGAATCATCGCATAGCGCGAGTGCGATGACCGACTGGCGCCTCTGACCATGCTTGACGTGACGCGGCTGTTAACTAGCTCTGTGCAGGCTTCACAAGGAAGGAGCATACTTGTCAGTTGACGCTGTCTATGAAATAAGTGGGCGTCTAAACTGCAACAAATCAGCCCAGTATTGAAGCAGCCTCACGTTGCCACATTGTATGGTGACACATTGTACTTTTGAGAACAAATCTTACATTTGAGAAAAAAATCCTATAAATCTTATAAAGTTGTGCTAATGCTTGAAATTCAGGTTCCCGTTTGATGAGCAACAGTGTCATCTGAAGGTGCGTGAAGCTACATTCATATTATTGAATCATTTTTTCCATCCCTGTTTCATCGCAACTTGGTAACTTCTGCTTTTTAGTTTGGATCGTGGACATATTCAGAAAATTTGCTCAATTTGGAGCTATTGGAGAATAACGTACGTTACGAGGAAGAGGTGAACGAGCAAGGCATTGTCGACAACATCACCATCGCCGACGATGGAATCGGTTAGTTACGAATCACAGCACACCTTAGAAGCGAGTCCGGCCTATGAAATATTTTTACGAAGCTGTTTAAAAAATCGTGGAAAGAATCCGGGAATAAGCGCTTCAAGTAAGATCCTGTAGACATTGAAACGAGGAAGGCTGGGTTGGGTTCATAGTGGAAGTGGGATGCTGAATGCGCCCCAGTGAAAAAAGCAAAGAAATCCGTCAAGAAGGCGCAAAATGGGACCCCTTTCTTTGCCCGTTGACCTCCGATAATGGACGAGCTAGCAACCAATAGGAGGTCGTTTGCACATGTTAACCGATAGCTTCCCACAAATCATTCGATGCTGCTGCTGGGAACACACTGGCGGGCGGAGCACAGGCGGAGGCGGAGCTCAGAAAGGATGGCAAGCCCTGTACGCTGCAACTAGCGCACCTTTGGTCACAAAAAGGCCACATCTCGCTTTCCTTGGGCCCCTGACTACTGCTTCCAATGGTGCATTGTACTTCCATGCTGCACACACACTTTATACCTAGTTTGACATACCTCGCTTTGAGGTACAAGGACGGTGGGCGAGAATAAGGAAGAAGGATCCGGGCACTTTGAGAAACACTGGGCGGCAAAGGGAGACAAAGACTCGGATACGACAGAGATACGGAATCAGCGCAAACACAAGCACATCGCAACTGTTTGGTGCGTAGATTCGTTAGGTGGGCAAGTATGCGAGTATGTCCCATAACGCTTTCACACGCGTTTTGTTGTCCCTGGTTCTGGATCCAGCTAAAAAGTTTAGTGCACTGGAGATTTTGTTCCAATGGAACAAGCGCGGAATGTATCTTTGAAGAAGTTGTAACATTTGTTCGATCCTATACAGATGAAACACTTGGTGAACTTGGGTAAGTTCTAGCCTACCTGAAAAAGCTACATGGGACTTTTGCTCAGTACGCGACCTCTAATGGTGACATAGAAATTAAGGCGTAGGCAACCGTAACTTACAGGAAGCCATACTTATTTTGTTGGTGTTACAGATCTCTCCGATTACTATCCGTCAGTGGAATGGGACATCATGTCGAGAGTGGCACGACGACGATCAAAAAACTATCCGAGCTGTTGCCCTCAGAGCGCGTACATTGACATCATGGTGTGTAAGGCTGCTCACTTTCTTATACTTTCAACCATTAAATATAATATTATAATATCGGTGGTGATAGGATGGTTCTGGTTTCAGTATTACCTGGAACTTCGACGTAAACCACTCTTCTACACGGTGAACCTCGTTTTCCCGTGTGTTGGCATCTCGTTCCTCACTATTCTCGTGTTCTATTTGCCATCTGATTCTGGTGAAAAAGTCACTTTGTGTATTTCTATACTTGTAGCGTTGAACTATCTTCTTCTTGCTGTTGGTGAGTGG